ATCCAATTTATTTTCAGGAAATTAGATGCTTCCGAAATAATTTAGCTAATTTACGGAAATTTGATTGGGTACCATTACCGTTAGCATATCCTCAATTAGTATATCTGGCAATACATGTCCACTTTTTTATAATACTTATTTCAAAGCAAGAAATTATCCTATCAGCGGCACAAAATAATACGACAGAAACGTCACGTACCATAGCAATTGTTAGCAAATGAATCCATTTCACTTTTTTTTTCTTTTTCCTCTTTTCTCCATTTATTTTTGGAAAATTTTGTTGAAAAACGAAAGAAAAAAAACAGAACAAAATGGAACTTAGAATATGAGAGCAGTTTTTATAAAAGAAACTGATATCTTAACTATTCCCTTACTAATTAGCTATCAATCATTTATAGTATTTATGTTTAGCTATTCCCCTATTAATCATTTAGATTATTTATACATACATATTATTGCAGTTAAATCGATGGTTCCCATTAACACCAGCTATAAAATTCTTTTTTTATATGGCTTGGATAAAGGTTGCAATGGTACTTATTAATCCATTTGGTGAAGATGATGATGATTTCGAAACAAATGCACTCATTGATCGAAACTTTAAAGTATATTTTTGATAAAATTTTTTTCATTTAATTGAATGAAAAATCACAATTGTTTTTAAAATAATCACTGTCTTATGCAAAAAACAGCTATCATATTAATAACAATTATCTTTTCCATTAATATGATATGATAGTAATCTTTTAACTATCAAAAGATAACTATCCTACTATTCTTTTTCCAAAAATGATAGTTATCTTTTTGCGTTAATATAACAGTTACATTACGGATATGATAATTATCATATCAATTAGCACAAAAATGTTCATATACTTACTATTACCATACTTCCGCTAAAATGATATTTCTCTTCCAGATGACGTAATGATTCAAAAAGTATATTGTCTCTTCCCAAAATTCATAAAACTATCTGGAAAACAATAACGAAATATAATTATGAACTAAATCATATTATCAACATTAACCATTCATTTCAATGTCTGCTTGATAATAATTAGATAAATTTAACAGATTTCATTTGATATTTGTTCAATCGTTTTTTTTTTAAGGATATTTATTTAACCTTAACAATATTAAAGTATAATTTACAAAATTAAAAACAACTATTTCAGGTAGGGATGAAAATTGCAGATGGTACAAGTGATGATGTACCAAAACAGTTGAAAGATGCATTTTGGAATCGTAATATTGAAGCATTATATAGCGAACAATCTATTAAAAACAATGAAAGACAAGATGGTTTAGTGGGTTCAGCTACAAAATTTACGTAATGTTACGCATATATTTGATAAATTTTCGAATATTGAATATTCATTTAAAATATATCCAAAAGTGAAGTGATGAAATATTTCAGAAAATTATTTAAAGTGAAAAATTTTTTAATATATATACAGAAAATTAAATGAGGAAGATAGGACATATTACTAATATGAAAAATTATCATGAATAATTCATACGATATATAAATTCATAAACAAATAAACGTATAACAAATAAATGATTAACAAAATAAGTGTAAGTTGTAAAAATAACCATGAAAAGATTTTAAAATTCATATCAATAATCAGTCATCTTTACAGGGAACCATGTGATATGAAACATGTATTGATGATACCATTAAAACGAAATAGTACAAGTAGTATCAGTAATAGTAGCTATCCAATAAACAGAAGGCAAACATCGCAAAGGCAAAATTTTATGGATGATAGGAAGTATGAAATCATTTGTTTACATGATATTATATAAATTATCATAGTTATTATATAAATATAATTATACTGAACAAATGAACCAACAGAATATTCAAATAATACAATTGTTCAATCAACGATATATCTGTTACAAAATATGTCAAAGATAGTTTCGATGCATATGTATATATATATATATATATATATGTATGTAATCTTTCGAAAAAGGCTTGCAATTTAAAAAATTAAAAAAAAAAGCCTTGCAGTTTTAATAGCTTTAATCTAATACCTTAGTCTTAACTGATTAAAAGGAGAAAAAAAATATTGAAAAAACGAAACCATAAGCTACGAAGAAAAAAAACCTTAAGCAATTAACGATATATTTCTTACAAAATCAACATATATATATACATATTTGTTTATTTATTTATATTTATACATAATATACTTTAAGAATTTATACTTGATTCTAGTTCTATATGCATCTTTACTTTTATCGTTAAATTAAGTATTAAAAAAAGCTCATTCCATCTTTTTCAGTACTGATATCAGTCGACGCCTTCCAAGAAATACTGCAATACATACCACAAGTGCAAGGTAAGAAGTACATTCTTCAGTGGATAAATTTAGCGCTAGTTGAATTATGCTTAAGATATATTTCTCGATTTTGCATGTGAAATTCCAAAATGCAACTCACTTTACAGTACCCCTGAAGAATATGCGACACATAAAAACAGTTGGTCATTACGAAGCGGTAAAAACTCCTCATCCTCTATTCTACTAAATGAAGAATCATGTCACGTGAACCACGGTTATATGATGGACGTGAAAGGTAATGTAAATAATTACATTATAAATTCTCAAATCTGAAATCTAGAATCTAACATAGAACAAAACACCATTGCTAGGGTAATATATGCCATTTGCATGACTCGTTATTACATCGATATCCTGCTATTGCTTTAACAAAAAAAAAAAAAAAAATTGAATTTAAACAACATATCTATAGAAACCCAAAATAATGTCCCGATATCTGTTGGGCATGCAAATGGCAAGAAACTATAAGTAATAATTTGCACCTAGCTTTGGAAGATCGAATTTTTCCTTATCCCTTTTTTAGATTAGACAGAAGCTACCACGAATTAGATTCTACAATCGGTAAAAACAGTTAACATACTTGCCTAAAACTGTAAAAGTTCTTCCAATTCATTCCTTTTTCTTTTCACAGTAATGGACGACTCATCAAAACAACACGATGAAATTGTCGGAAAATTAAATCTTCCAAGAACATTAGAATGTTCGCAATATAAACAAAACGAAAAAAATACAATGAATCAATTAATGGCCGACAAAAATAAAGACAATGACAGCTTTCAGCAAATTGTAAAAATGTAAATATGAAATAGTTTTACTCGGTGGAAATTTCTGAGGAACATGAATTAACAAAACATTCGTAACACTGATAAAATACTTCAAAAAGTTGAAAGTTTTAAAAACAATTAAACATTGAAACGTCTAAGTAAAATGAAACTTTGATAATATCTACATGCATTTTTGCGCGATAATATACCTGAAAGTTCTAAGAACCTCAAACATTAATGTGTGTCATAAATACTGAAATGATATACACGAACTAAAGTTGAAATTGAAGATATTAACAGGCTGTGGTAGAGATTCATCAAATGGAAAAATCGTATTCATAAATAATGTTAACTATAAGGGCTATAACTTACCAACGTAAATTAACGACATCCTACAAAAGCCTGACAATTAGGAATTAGTAAATATAGAGGTCATGACAACTTATCAATAGTTGCTGAAAAGTATAGCGATAGCAGTACATTTAAAGATCTACTTTTTATTAACTAAATATTCCTCCGCTTTTTGAATCAAATCTTGCATTTCCTTGTATTGTGCCAACAGACTAGCTTCATTGGCCGGTAACCATTTGATATTTTGATGCTCATCTGACAATCTAATCCCTTCATCATTTTTTAACTTTGCCAGCCAATACTTGACTGTCTTCTGAAAAAAAAAAGAAAAAAAAGTGAATGTTGATGAGGATATTCTACAAATCCAGCGCCCTTCTAGGAATACAAATGGAAAATATTCTAAGTATGTCTTTTTCTCATAGAACGCCAGCCATGTAATGCTCATGCTAAATAGCATGGACGACAAATGTAATTATAACTACAATAATTACCAGGAATAAATTAAACCTTGAAAGTTTCTCACCTGTTTGTTAACTTCTTCCCCATACCGGTTACTTTTTTTCACCACATACTTCATAACTTCCACGAAGTCCACATGTACATCCAAGTTGTCGGCCGTTATTCCAGCTTCTTCAGAAGTTTCACGTAACGCTGCCAACCATTCGTCTTCACCGGGATCAACATGACCTTGAAAAATATCTAAATAAACTTTGTGTATAAATCTAAACAAGACTGCCAATCTTCAGACAAGATTTCATCTAAAATGATATACTTAAAATCAAAATTTGAACATCCTCGTTTGTATTTTACTTAAGCCTTAATTACGTTAATAATGGGAAATGAAATTTGCAACTTTTAAAATCATCATCCGATAATATTCTAAGATTGTATTCAGTTTAAAGTGAAAGTATGATAAAATGAAGTTGCAACACGGAAATGGCGAAAGATTCTCTGAATTCTAAGTAGTCTTACCTGGAAAATACCCAGCAAATTAAGGGTGAAATATAGCATATTGTCTTTGTCCAGAAATAAAAACATTACTTGAATATACATATCAATAGATTGAGATTAAAAAAGGTGTATAAATAAGATTATGAGGGAAGGACAATGAGATACACGGTTTGCTTGGTATTGCAAGGTACACCTTGGTACACCTTGGAAGTACATCTTGGTAATAAGGAACAAAAGTCTAACCATAGCAAAGGTAGAAATCAATATATAGCTCTTATGAGGTATCATTTAAATAAATACCAACCTTTTGGTGGAGTCCAATGATACGGAGGATAAGATGCTTGCAATAGTAAATATTCAATTCGACCAGCGTTATGACGATAAATTAGCATACCTGCTGCACGTACAATATCAGCCATCATATAGATACGTGGAAAATGACGTGAAATAATGATATTGACTTGAACGCAAAAATGTGAAGTGTAGATCTAAAAATAAGTTGACCATAAGCAAGAAACAATCGTCCACTCCTTCGGCCAACCGCTAAATACAACTCTCAAAACATGGATGAAGATTGGGACAATTACAAATTTGTTTAAAAATGTCTGTTTGGAAACTATTTGTTATTTCTTTTCTCTCATCAATTCAAATTTAAATGATCCATCTCTACCCATTCCCTCCCTCTCTCTC